AGAGATGCGAAGAAAGAAGCCTTTTCAAAAACTTCTTAAAAACATAATTAAAATAAACACTGGTTATTCATACTACTGAATGAATACTTTTTTGGAATGACTAAACTCTGAATTAGTGTTGAGAGAGTGGAGTATGGGAAACAATAAGGCTACTGCCTCTAAATGTGGCCTCTACTCTTTGAAGGTGGAGAGAGTTTATTTGTATGTAACTGACGATAAAACAAAGCATATACACTGGTGTCCTGCTCTATGTGAAACATGCAAATTTATTAACAAAATGGTCACAGCCCTCACTCTCATCTACAGGCCATTTATACTATTTACCTTCATCAGTTTCTGTTTCGCCTGCTAATTCTACTTCATTTGGGGGCTGGATTTTTATTTATTTTAAATCAAAATCTACTGAACCCTTAGCTCTATTAAATATGGCTTTAAACATTTGCAATTTTAATGAAAATAGTTTAAATCTGTCACTAGCTGTGAAGGCTGTGATCCAAGAACAATATGGATCAAATCGATTAAGTACTTTAAGCAGCAATTATTTTAAATCATGTTAGAAATTTCTAATTAGGTGAAAGCTAAAAGTTAGAATTAAACTGACAAAGCACAAATATGTGTGTGTGTGTGTGTGTGTGTGTGTGTGTGTGTGTGTGTGTGTGTGTCAGGGGTCGCTACTGCCTTTCTTCCCTCTAGTGTGCAGGGATTGTATGAAACACCTGGCAAGATTAACATAGTAATACCACACTTACTCCCTCAGACAGGGAAACAGCAGCTTGGAAAAAAGGCCTCTTTGTGAAGGAAAAAGCTATAACAGTAGTGACACAATTCCCATCTTAGGAGAAGAGGGCTATGTCCTTTAAACTAGAGAGTACTGACTTAGAACTGGGGGTAAAATTAAGGCTACTTCTACATAAACTAGGTATATCTCTAGTATAGCCTGGGAGCTTACAACTTTCTCAAGAAGAGACGAATAGAAAGGGTGAACAAGCTGCTGTAAGCAGATCAGGTGCTGTTTGGCTGCCAACAGCCGCTTTTTATGAGAGAAGAAACAGAAGACCTTGTGGGCTGCTGTTCTCACTCCGGGACCACTTAAGTGCAGCAGCCAGTAGCCCCAGCAACTCTTAGTAAACTCTTAGTGACCCTAGAGAGCGTCATTGGGCATGTTCTGACTACACGGTAACAGATAGAACTGGACATTCCCAATTAGAGGTTCTCCAGGATCCTCAAACTCAAGCTGCCCAAAGCAGAACTCGCCCTTCTGGCCACACCCTGCCCTCTACCAAACCATAATCTATCTTGCCATCCACAGTTTGCCCCAGGCCCCTTTTCCAAGTAGTCACCGAATTCATTGATTCTGCCTCAGCAGCATCCATCTCCGGAAGACCGCCTTTTCTCCCCACTCAGATGGCTACTGGCCTCGCCAGCAACAGCTTTCTAATCAGTCTCCCTGATTCCAATCTCTCTCCTCTTCAATCCAGCCTTCCCACAGCTACCAAATTGATATTCCTTACGCACAGGTCACTTCTTTGCTCAAGAAGTTCCAGCGGCTTCCTGCTGCCTCTAGGAAAAATACAACTAATTTACCGTTCCAGGCTGATTGCACATCACTTTCTTTCACACATTTTGCAGAGTAGATACAGATTCCTATGTAGGACAGGCTAGTTGGTACAGTGAGCAGAATGCTGCTAGGCCTAAATTCAGATCCTCCTTCAGACACGTGCTGGGGCTCCATTCGCCAAGCAAAAGCCACTTAATCCTCTCTCAAATTCATCCAGAAAATGAGGAGTTTAGACCATGGCCTCTATGGCTCCGGCTCACCCCAAATCTTTAATCCCCTGGTAATAATCAATCACCTACCGCTGTTCTAGGACTAGGCATAGCCAGTTAAAACAAGAAACAATCCCTACCTTCAAGAAGCTTACAATTTAATAAAGAAGATAAGGCAAATGCACAAATAACTGCAATCCAGTTCAGGAGGCAGGAGTTCAAGCCTATCAAGCTAGAAAGAGTCTGTGGATAGGCCTACGACAGTGTGACCTTTGAGAGGTCACTGAACTTTTTTCAGCATCAGCTTCGTCATCTAGAAAGAGGGGACTGGATCTGATTATTTCTGAGTCCCTTCACAACACTGACCCAGCTCTCCAAAAATAGCTGGAGATATCTGCAGGGAGAAGAAAGGGATGCGACTTTAAGGAAGAGGAGGAAATAAGAGGCTCTGCCCCACCCCCAACCCCCCACTGAGTCATTCTCTCACTGGAAGAGGAACATATAATCCCCTGAAAAAGGCGCTGGATTTCCTTTAATCTACCAGAATATACAAAGGAATGAAAAAGAATGGCAAGTTATCATCCAACTAATAACGCCATAAATCTCAGGAAAACATAAGCTCTTTGAGTTCCCTTATTTGGATCTTTGCATTCCCAACATCTAGAAAGAAGTTCACTTGCACAAAACAAGAAATTCATAAAAAATCTGTTGAACTGTAGAAAGTGAGCCTCCCAGAAATTAAATGATTCTCAGCCAGAGTCACCCAGCTAATAAGGGCTAGAATCAGGCCTTGAACTCAGGTCTCCATCTTCTGGGACCAAGGGCTATTTCCACCAAATCAACTTTCTAAAGTATCCCCCCAAAAAGCCTAAGGCCATCTATAATTTGTTTTCCACAAACTATAATTCAAGAAAAGCTGCACTTCCTAAACCGAAACTAAGAATACCAACTAAAATCCTATTAAGTACATTTTCCCTTAAGTATCTGACCCTACGACACTGAATCACTGGAAAAACTGATTGTCCAAAAAGAAATACTCAAGCCGATCTTTCCTGGTGTGGAGAGACAGAGCATCATTTTCAGCGAACATACTTCTCCAAGTCAGCTACAACAGACACTGTACTAGAAATGATAAAAGGAGGAGGACAGTGAGACAATATGTACCAGAAAGCTACTGTTATATGACTCATAACTGCCTGGCATTTTATATAACATATTACCAAGCTGCCCATCTGACAAGACTCGGTACAAGACAAGTGAAAGATCAGGAATAATCCAAAGCCACTGCAAGGTTAGGGACATGTACTGAAGCAAGTTCATAAGAAGCTACCTTTCTTGGGAACAATAGCTAATATGAAATCTCAGTATTTTGTACTCCTTCATAAGAGGAAAAAAAAAAGAGATGTCCTAAATTACAGGCCTATGAGCTATTTAATTTCATCCTCAACTAGTATGTGAGGACCCACAGTGTCACCACTGGCTACTGAGGAACAACAATGATCAGGAGTTTAGAACAAATACTTGACAGAGACAAGGTTAAAGGAGCAGCTAGGCGGCGCAGTGGATAAAGCACCAGGCCTGGAGTCAGGAGGACCTGAGTTCAAATCCAGCCTCAGACACTTGATACTCGCTAGCTGTGTAACCTGGGCAAGTCACTTAACCTCACTGCATAACCTAAAAAGAGAGAGAGAGAGAGAGAGAGAGAGAAAGAGAGACAGAGAGAAAGAAAGAAAGTAAAGAATGAGGCATTAGACAGGACTTAACTACACAGCTCTTGGAGATGTACCACTGGGAATGAAATGGCTTAAAGCCATTTCTCTTTTCTCCCACCTAGCAAGGAAAATAAGGCTTGAGGTAGAATAGGAAAGAAAGGAAGAGGGGAGGAGATGGGCAGGGAGAGGAAGTTGGGGTGCAGACAGCCCATGTCAGGTGTAGGACCTGAACCCAGGTCTTTGTGGCTCTGCGGTCGGCTCTCCAACCATTCCTCCACGCCAGCATAACCAGAACAAACAGAAAGAGAAGAAACACAAGGTTGTTAGGAAGAGGGCACAAGTAGTTAGAGATCAGGAAAGGCCTGGTAAAGAGCAACCTTCTGCGATCTCCACACCTATTAGCTTTCAGGAAACTTTTCCTATCCTCTATTTAATGTGAAAGCAAATAAATCCTAGCATCTTCCATACATCTACACATAACAAAATAAAGTGAATTTTTTCATAAAGAAAGTTCTGTTCATCACATGACATTTTTTCACTAACACTCTAATTTTTCAAAATATTTCAATAGGATTTTACCAAATAGTCTCCATATTCCCTTATCAAGCTTCCTGGACCCCAGAATAGGGATCCCTTAGGTACAAGGTGGTTCCTGAGCTGGGTCTGGAAGGAAGAGAGGGCATGTACCAGGTGGAGACAAGGAGGGAGTGCAATCCAGGCCCAGAGATAGAAGCGCCAGTGCAAAGGCCCAGAGATAGAAGTCCGAATGTGGTCAGTGAGGAGCTGAGGGAAAACCAGTCTGCCTTGATCCCCAAGTGCAAGAAGGGAAGTAATGTGCAATGAGGGCAGAAAGAAAGGATGAGACCAGGCTGTGAAGGTATGTAAAGGGCTTCCAAAGTTAAAAAGATTTTACTGATCTTCTCATGAATCAGTTAGAATGGCTGCAACTCTCCAGAATCCATGCCTAGAAGGGAACTTGTATTTCCCCCCAAAAGCCACCTCTCCTCCAGACTTTCCTCTTTTTTGCAAGGGTGTCACCAGATCCAAGCCATTCCACTGCCATAGTTTTGAACTCAGAAGTTCCCCTCTCTGTTGTTCTAAGTATGTGATCTTGGAGTCATCCCCAAGTCTTCCCTTTTCCTTGTCCCTCACATATCAGCTGCCAAGTATTATACATTCCATCTTCCCAACATCTCTCCCATCCATCCCTCTCTTTACAATCAGATAGAATGTCTACCTTAGTGGAAGTTCTCATCACCTAAACCTGGACTATTGCAATAGCATTCTGATTGATCTCCATTTCCAAACTCTGCCCTCAGCAGCCTACCCTCCACATAGCTGCCAAACAGAAATTTCTTGTTCTGCATTGCATCTACTTCTTATTTACTAGATTATCTGGATCCATGTCCGGCTGCTCTAACTGCCTTCACTGTGGCACTTGGGACCTTCCATAATATGGCTCCTCCACCTTTCCAGATGTACTCTGTACTGCTTCCCCTTTAGAATCTCTATTCCACCTACCTGTTACCTGAGTTTTCTCTGACCTCCATGCATTGGTCCGAGACATTCCCCATGCTTGCAACATGATTCCCTTTCACTGGAGCAGCTCATAACCCTTATCTTCCATCAGAGCCCAAACTGGTGCAAGCTCTGGGTCTACGTCTTTGATTGATTTAGCCGATGTTCATGTTCTCTCTCTTTCCTTTTAACAGACTTTTTGGCGTCCCTGTTGTAGCCTCTCAGTAGAATGGAAGCTCACTGGAGGCAAGGACCATCTCATTTTTGTCCTGGTATCACATGGGCCTGCAACAGTGTCACGCACAAAGTAGATACTTAATAAATGTTCACTGAAGTTAAAATGAGTCTCACACATTCTAATAGCCTATTTTTTTTTTTCTAAAAAAAAGGTACACATTCATCATGGCATGCGTTAGGGAAGTCCTTTCTGTTTGGCTACCTGTATCTATTAAAGAAAAATGAGGAATCCTAAAAATTCACATTATGCCCATTCTTCTATTTATAGTACATTAAAAAAAAAAGCATCAGAGATAATCAACACAAAAGTGTTATGTACACACAGGTTTTACTTACAGCTAACCAGCTTTAGTTTCCTGAAAACCAAATAAAGGTCATCTCATCCATCTTCTTGAAAAACTTCAATTCAGCAAGATGCTGGTTTGTAAAAATGAATCCCTCCCTTCCTTTTGGGGAGATGATTAGGGGATTATAAGAACTTTCAAAGTTCTCAAAGGCAATCCTCCTTCCTCCCAAAAGGAAACTGTCCAGATCTCTTAGAAGCAGAAGGCAAAGCAGAATCACAAAGGATTCGTTGGTCACCCCCTGAAAGAATCCCAACACTTAGGCGTAGCATAACCAAAATCTTGTGTCCAAGTCAAAGAAAACACACTGCAAGCAGCCAGGGAGACAGAATTCAAGTTCTGAGGAGCCACATGATTTAGCAGCTACCACTACAAAAAGAGCAGATAGGATGAAATATGATTTTTCCCTAAAGCCAAAGATTCAGGTGTACAACCAAGAATAACTTACCTAGCAAAATGGAGTATAATCCTACAGGAGGAGAAAACAGACCTTCGATAAAATGGAGGGCTTCCAAGCATTCCTGATGAAAAGGACTGCAGAGAAACTTTGAAGTGCAAACATAGGAATGAAGAGAAAGATAAAAAGGTAAACAAATGATCATAAGAAACTAAACAAATATAAACTGCTTACATTCTAATACGCAGAAATAACACCTGAATCTCCTCAGACCCCTATCATCGTCAGGGATCACAGAGAGAGTTTAATTAAACAGAAGAATCAGAAATCATTCTTTTATGTCCTGATGGTCCTAAAAAAGGAAAAAGAGGGAAAGAAAAATATAATAGGGCGAAGAAACCGAGAAGTTTAGAGGAAACTATCTTGTAATCAGGATGCACAAGTAGATGTCAATACAACAGAGATCAACAAGAAGGATGGGGAAAAGTGGGAAAAAACTTGAGCCTCTCTCTCATCTGAACATCAAAGGAGGAAATAATACACATACACCCACAGCTGGATAAAGACATACATTTCACTAAAGAGGGAAATTTGAGGGAAAGGGGAGAGGGAGACTAGGAATTAAAGGAAGGGCATATTGAGAGGGATTAGTTCTAAGCAAAACAAACTGAATGTACAAAAATATTTATAGCTTTTTTTCCAGTGGCAAAGAAATGGAAAGTGAAAGAATGTCTTCAATTGGGGAATGTCTGGCCAAGTAATGGTATATAAATGTTACAGAAGATTCCTACTGTACTCTATGAAATGAAGGGTATGGTTTCAGAGAAACTGGAGAAGACTCATATGAACGGATGCAGAATGCAGTAAGCAAAAACAAGAAAACAATGTATGTAATGATAAAACACTGTAAAGACCAACAACTCAGAAAGACTTAACTGACCAGCCAAGATTTCAATAGACTACTGATGACACATGCTGTCTATCTTCCGATGGAGAGATGAGGGCACAAAACAAGACTTGAGTCTTTTTGGACAGGGTCAATGCAGAAATTTAGTGTGCTTCTCTACATGTTTGTAACAGGGGTTTTGTTTTTCTGTCTTTGTACCCCCAACCCCCAGCAAAGGGCTGGGCACAGGAACAGAGAGAACACTTAATAAATGCTTACTGATTAACTGATTGTGCTCCCCTAAGAGTAGACTAAAGGTTTAAAATAGGGCTATCACCACATAATGATGTTTCCTGCCTTTATGGAGGAAAGAAATCTAAACTGAAGGGACCAACAGAACGTCAGCATCACAGAATCTTGGAACTGGAAGGTCATCCATCTATTTCCCACCACAAAAGGCAGCTGAAAATTTCAGTCGACTTTTTTTTATTCTATCCTGCTTAACAAAATGAAGGAGCTGTCTTTTAAAATATGCTTGAAGATTATGTTTGCCAGTCTTTTTAATCAGCTTTTCTACAGAGGAAACAACTAAGCTAAGTTGGTCTTTTGCCAAAGATATATGAATGCAGCAAACAACTATTAACATATTGGGTACTAGGCAGCTTTTATAAAAGACTTAGGAGTTTTCTAAAAAGTCATAAAATTGTGGTGAAATGAAAAAAATTGGCAGATGGAGGCTCCTTCCTCACATGCCAAAAACAGAGTAACCAGGGACTTCTAACGAATGACTGATCTAACATCTTAGTGTCAAAACTGAATGCTGGACTATTGTCAATCTGGCACGAACAAAGCTTAAAGACAAATCAGAAGCAAGGCTGAGAAAGACTTTTATAGATTTTATTTTAGACCAATACTTAATATTCCTGCAAAGTCCTAGCCAAAAGCCTCTATTTCAAATTATATTTTCTATCACGAAGTACTTAAATGATTCTCCTTTTACTGTACATCTTAGCAAGTAGGTGATAAGGACAACACGGAATAATCACCCGTCTTATGGTAAACACAATGCAACCATTTTTGCAGCAAGTCTATTTACTGGATATCAAACTGACTAGTTTTTAAGTAGTACTGTAGTTATTATACATATATAATTACATAGAAAATTTTTTCTGCAAGAAGGGTTAGTGTTGAAAATCTGGAAGGTATAATTATAAGAGGGTATTTTTGAAGGCTATGGCAACAATACTGCATAACTCATTACCCAAGGAAGAAGACAGTGGACCACAAAGTATTACAATGTGCTGAAAAATCAACTGGAATGATCAACTTGATGTAAAGCCACTCTGTCCGTGTTTCTGGTACTGCTTTGCTTCAAGGCACACAGAAAAGCCTCCATCAGGAATGCTTTATCAATGTGCCCAATCACATGTCTAAGCCATATTCAGTAATGCCCACGGCCAAAGTAGTTATGGCAGCAATTTATATTTAGAATTAATATAGCCAAGAGCTTGAACAGCAGCACAGCCACTTAACCTCAAATCTATCACCACAGTCGGGGGGGCTTCTAAGTGGCCAGAACTGGTTCTCTCCTCCCAAACACCCGATTAATCTCTGACATCCATTTGCTCAACTGGACAAACGGTTTTATTCCTTGTTACGTCCGCCATATACCCAGGCTAGTAAAACATCAAACTATGATATCTAATCCTAACAGAATTTAGGAAAATGCCCCTTGGAAAACTTAATTCCATTTCCCCAAATCAACCAGAAAATCAATTCTGAATTTTTCTTAACTTGTTGTTTTTCTCAGGAAGAGGCTACTTCAGTCAAAATCTATCTGTAACACTGTGTAACACGCAGGGATGAAACTGCATTAAAAAGGAGACCTTCAAGTGCTATAAAAAATTTATTTTATGATTAATTATAATTAAAATATTTTATAATTATTAAAATTATTACTACTATACACAGTACAGGATAGTGACTAGATAAGCCAACTATTATCACAATACATAGTATAAGATAGTGGACAGATGACCAACCTTCAAGTCACTGATCCTGACACATACTACCTACATGGTCATAGGCAAAACACCTAATTTCTCAGTGTGTCTCAGATGCCAATTTGTACAAGCGGAAGGAGTTTCTCTACCTATGAGATACTGGATCAAGTTTAAAATGATACATGATTTGAGAGTCAATCGCAACAATCATAACGTCAGCCAAAGGAGAAATTACAGGTAATCTGCTCCATATGTAAAAGCTGACATGCCAACTATGCTGAAACAATGATGCTAATCACTTATACTGGGCAGGAAAATGGGCAGATAGGTACATTCCTACTCCAAGAATAATCTCTGAACATCATGCCCCCAATCCCATTCAACTCCAATTTTTTTTTTTATTAATCCTACCCATGCATGAGCCTCTAAAGCAGGCTGGAATGCTGACCATGATGTCAAACTGATTCCTGTAAAATACTAATTACGGGATCATTCAAGTAACTCATTGATTCAGCCAGTCAACAAGTATAAATTAAACAGTGCTCACTATGTCAGGCATTATGTTAAGCACTAGAGAGGGGTGAAAAATAAAGGAGTTCCTGCCCACAAGGAGCTCACACTCTAACAGGGAAGACAACATGAAAACACCTACATATACAAGGATGTATACAGTAAATATGTAAGGTAATCTCCAAAGGAAGGCTTGAACAGTGCGTATGGGGAAGAGGGCTTGTTGCAGAAGGAGGGATTTAAGTTTAGTCTTGAAGGAGGTGGCTGTAAGGTGGAGGTGAAGAAGGGAGAGTGCTCCAGGCATGAGGGACAGTCACTGCAAAGGCACGGGAAGCCGAGTGGAGCAGGACCATCAAGTACATGCAGAGGAGCAGAGTGGAAGAAGGCTGTCCAGCAAAAGTCAGGCTGACCAATAACTCATTCCATGTGTCGCCACTCAAACGGAAACACCACCAACATACAGAAGGTCATAAGATAAACAAATCAGAGAATCAGAGAAGGAAATGCCTTGTACAACTATGGATAAGGATGTTCTTGAACAGAACCAAGGAATAAAAATGGTCACAAAAGGCAGATTTGATTACATAAAACTGAAAAGGCATTGCACAAATAAAATTACTGCAGTTAGAATTAGAATGGAAACAGTGAACTGGGTAAAAAATCTTGCAGCAAATTTCTTGGGAAAAGGACTGAAAGATGATCAAGAAAACTGATGTTGCTATAGAAGAATGAAAGTCATTTTATTTCCCAGTGGATAAGTGGTCCAAGTATTTGAATAGACTCTTCTCAAAAGAAAAAATGTAGTCAACAACCACGAATAAAAATGCTGCAAGAGGCAGCTAAGTGGCGCCCTGGATAGGGCATCGGCCTCAGAGTCAGGAGGATCTGAGTTGTAATCTAGTGTCCAACCAGACACACTTGACACTGACTAGCTGTGTGACCCTGGGCAAGTCACTTAACCCCAACTGCCTCACCCCCCCCAAAAAAAGGCACAAAAAATGCTGCAAAACAACAATAACAGAAATACAAATTAAAACAACTCTGAGACTACACACTGCATACCTGTTAGATTACAAAGTTAACAAAAAAGGAAAATAGCAATTGTTGGAGGATTCTAGTAGGACAGGCAAACTTATGCACTAATGGTGGTTCAGCTATTTTGGAAAGCAATTTGGAACTACAACCAATAAGTTACTAAACTTCCCATACCCCTTGTCCTAGCAATGCTACTATTAGACAACTATCCTAAAGAGGTTAAATAAAGAAGGAAAGCACCCACACGCACAAAAATGTTGATAGTGGAACTTTTTGTTATATAGTGGCAAAGACTGGAAAGCAGGTACTCATCAACTGGGGAATGGCTGAACAAATTATGATGTGTGAATATAATAGAACATTATCATGGCATAAGAAATGACAAAAAGAATTCAGGGAAATTTGGGAAGACTTATATGAACTGATGAAGAATTAAATAAGTAAAAATGACAAGAAAAAGTTACACAATGACTATAAAACTGTAAAGGAAAACAACTTTGAAGGACTTAAGAACTCTGATCCACGCAATGACTAATCATGACCCAAGAAGACTGATGATAAAGCATGCTTCCCACTTCTTGGTAGAGAACTGATAGACTGTAGGCGTAAGGTAAGACACATTTTCAGACACAATCAATGCATGAATTTGTTTGACTGGATTACATTTGTTATAAGAGGAGACTTTTATTTTGGGGAGAAGGATAT